AAGAAATGGGGTGTCCTGGCCCCCAAACAAAAAAAAACTGAAGGGGATAGGGGTTTCCCGGGGGGGGGAAAAAATGGGGTTAAATCTGGTTAAACTGAGAGAGTTAGAGCAAAGGGAAGGGGTTTGCAAATAATGTTAAATGATCAGTTTTTGGAAGGGGAAAAAGAAATATGAATTTTAAATTTTAAAATTATGTGGAAAAAGTAAAGGTTGGATGTGAGGGGAAATGGGTTTAATAAGGTTTTATGCACCTGGAAGGGAAAGAAGGGAAAGCAGAGGGGGAAAAGAGAGATTTTGGAGATGTTAAGTGAAGGGAAAAGGGGCCCTTTTAAAAACCCAAATGAGAGAATAATTTGGGTAGGGGGGCCCGAATGCCCAAAGTAGGAGAAACTTTTAGAGGGGGGTATGGTAGGTAAAATTTTGGGGGTGCCCCGGTTTTAAAAGATAATGGGGGCCCTTTTATTGAACTTTTTATAAAGGGGTTTTTGTTATAGGTAATACATATTTTAAGAAAAAGAGGTAAAAAAGTAAAAACAAGAATGAGGGAGGGCGAAATGACAGAGTTTGTTGGATTTGTATTTAGATAAAAGACTGTTGATAGACTTCGGATGTACTTTTTTGTAGAGGGGGCCCCAAGATATAAACAGATCACTTTCTAGTTGGGGCCACACTGAGGGGTAAAAGGGAGATGGGGGTTTCAAGGGGGGAAAGAAGCATCAGGGGGAGAGGTGAAGGTTTTTTAAATTAAAGGGGGAGGGGAGTTAGGGTAAGATTTTTAAACAGCTTTTGGAGGATAGATAAGGGTAATGAGAGTTGGCAAAAGGGGTCGAAGAGGTATGGGGGAGGTTTTAAAAAAAGTAGGTTTTGAGTGTTCACGAAGTTTGTGGTTTTAAGGGAAAATGGGTGCAGGAGGGGGAAAAGGACAATTTGGGGGAATGATTATGTAAGAGAGTAGAACGGAGGGAAAAAATTTTAGCAAATGAAAATTTTTACAAAATAAAGTGGGTGCCCCCGGGGGGAAGAGTAAATGGGGAAAAAGAGAGAGGGTTTAAAAGAGTGGTGAAGCAATGTAAAAAGAGGGGCAAATTTAGGAGTTTGGGGGAGATGGGTTTTTAACAAATTTTTTTTGAAAAAAAGAAAAAATTTTGGAGTGAGTTTTTCAAAATTTTAAAAAAGCCTGAGAACAAATGGAATTTTTCAGTTAAAAATAGGAGAGGGAGTTATTTAAAAGGGGAGTTAGAGGGGAAAAAGGGGGAAAAGGAGGGAATATTTTTTAGGATTTGGGGTTTAAAAGTTGATTTTCAAGGGAAGCTGTTTAATTTTGTGTATGGGCAAGGAGGAAAACATCTTGTAGGAGTGAGGAAGGCCGTTGGAGTGTGGGGGAATTTTGGGGCAGTAGGTAAAATGAAAGGGGGGGAAAAACCCGCCGGGATTGATGGGATAAAGATAGGAAAAGTTTAAAAAAACAGGTGGGGATATATTTTGGAGTGGTTGGGGCAAAATTTTTTTAAAAAAAATGTATGGAAGAGGGTTTAAGGACCTAGGGAAATTTGGGAGAGAGCATGCATAGTTCCTTTGTTTTAAAGGGAAAGGGGGTAAAAGAGGTGCAAAAAAATTAAAAGGGGGGTAAGTCTGTTAGTATAACCGGTAAAGTTTTATGGTAAGTTATAAATTTAAAGAATTTAAAGTAAAGGGGGAAAAAGGATAGCAGATGAACAAGGAGGCTTTTTGGGGGGGTAGGGGGGGTGTGGGCCAGGTGGTTTACAGTGAAACATATAAGGGGAACAGTTTTTAGATAAGGCTAAAGAGGGCTTTTTGGCATTTTTGGGTTTGGGGAAAAAGGGGTATGACAGGGTGGGTAGGGGGGAAAATTGGGGAGATGTTGCAAGTGTTTGGGTAGGAGGGAGGGTTACTGAAAAACAGTGAAAAGGGTTTTTTTGAGGAAAGTGAGGCTAAAAATAAGTATTGGAAAAAAGGGGGAAATTTTTTCCCAAAATAAAAGTTTGGCCCTTTAAAAAGGGTTTTGTGAAGGGGGGGGGGGGGGGCACCGTGGTTTTTTTTATTAAAATTTATAGATGGGGTTTTTTAAGAGAAGAAAAAAGCGAGGGGCTTGGCAAAGGGGTGGGGTTTTAAAAAATAAAGAATAAAACCCCAAAAGTGGGAGTTTTTTCCCAAAAATGCTCTTTGCTGATGCACTGTGCTCTTGGGGGAAAACTGGAGAAGTTGCGAGATTTTTGGGGAAAGAATTTGGTTGGGTTGCAAAAAAAGAAAATTAAAAAGGGGAATACAGGGAAAAAGTAAGGTTTTGAGGAAACAAAAAAATTTGGTGATGAAAAAATTGAATACAGATTGGAGGGAGAGAAAAGGAAATGGGGAGGTGAATGGATTCAATATTTGGGTTTGGACCCTGTCAGCGGGTGGGTTCCCATGAAAAATTTTTGGGGAATCATAGAATTGATGAGGGAAAAAAAGTGGGGTGGTGCCCTTAGGGGGTCTTTGGAGAAAAAGGGAAAAATTTTCCCTTTGGGGGAAAGGGGGAAAGTATGGATTTTAGTTTTAACCCAAAGCTCTTATAGGGTGTTAAAACGGGGTGATAATGTTGCAGCGAGGAGAAGGTGAGGGAGTGAGTGGGCATTCTGAGGGCCCAATGTTGGGTGAATATAATGCAGAGTTTGTAGTTTGGAAGTTTGGAGGGGGTGCGGGGTTCCAAAAAAGTTGTCCCCAGGGCCGAGGAAGGGTTTTTGAGGTGGTTTGGAAAAAGTAGAGAGAATGGAAACAAACAGAATGATTCAAAGTGTTTTCAAATTGTAGGGAAGGAAGGCGGGGGAGGGGGCGGCCTAGGAAAAAAATTTGGGGGGGGGGTAAAGGAGGTTTTTTTGTGCGGGGGGGGGCTTGGACCCTTTCCCGCAGGCATGGTGAGCGTGTTTTTTAGGGGTGAATGGGGGGAAAAAATTTTTTAATACTTGACGGGCTGTTGGAGTGTGAGCAAAGTTTAAAAATTTTTTGAAGGGTTCAGGGGAAAACCCGGGAGGCCGGACTTGAGTCCTGGAAAATGGGGAAATACAGTGGCCCCGCACTTTGAAGGGGGGGTTTTAATGTTGCAGTTTAAAAACTGTAGTGTAAAGCACCCTTCTGGCAAGACAGTGATGGAGTGAATGATGGTGAAAGTTTTTCTTTTTCGGGCCACCCTGCCTTGGTGGGAATCGGCCTTGGACAGGCACCTAAAGTCAATACCTGACCAGCCGGGCTAAAGTTCGTACGTCAGTTTGGTTGCAGCCAGCAGTAACAGCCCGGTTGCTCAGGCGACCCTTCTACATCTACTTCCATGCCTGCGGTACATTTGTACACATTGCACTGAAGTGGTTGGGCCACTTGCCTTTATTTCCTCCTCCCTCCCATCCTTTTCCAGTATTCCCATGCTTCCCCTTCCTTTTTCCTCCCCCGTCTTATCAAAGCTCTGGTCATAAAAGTCGAAGTCGAGGATGAGCCAGACGCTGCACAGTGATCTGGTCTGCAATTTCATTGTTAGTTTCAGAGGTATAGAGGACGCATTCTACTCTCGGACCAATCTAATGACACGAGTTATTTTCCCATAGGAACAAATTCCCCTTGGAAGAATGTTAAAGGTGGGATGGTAGGGGAGAAGAGAGAGAGAGATAGAGAAGGGGAGTAAGGGGTAGGGGATGAGGATTATTATTATTATAATCAAGGGGAAGCGCTAAACCTGTAGGATTATACAGCGCTTGGGGGGAGGGGGAATGTGGAAGGCATTCAGGCTTAATTCGGGGAACTTGAGCACAGATCCAGTTCCCTAAATCAAGAGCCCCTCACCAACATCAAGGAACCTCTCCTGAGGGGAGGGGGATGAGGAGAGAATAATAAAATACTGTTAGAAAGAAACTTTAAAATGAGCTGAGGTAGGATACCACATTTTAGGTTGTATTATAATATACACACAAAAGAACCTCTTTATTCACGTACAATCCTTAAGAGTAAAATATTTTTTAATTAAATTTTATAAATCCGAAATGTGCTGCTACCCTATTCTATATATTATTATTATTATAATCAAGGGGGAAGCACTAAACCCGTAGGATTATACAGCGCCTATGGGGGGATGGAAGGCATTCAGGCTTAATTCAGGGAACTGGAGCACAGATCCAATTCCCTAGATCAAGAGCCCCTCACCAGCGTCAAGGAGCCTTCCTTGAGGGGCCTATTCTATATAATTACACAGTGGAATAAAAGCTATGTTCTCCAGCCCTATTCCATCATGCAGGATGGGACTTTTTTTAGATTGTAAAAATCTGTCAGCCTACATATACTGGCAAGTTTGAGTAGGTCAATGAGGCTATCGTCAAGTATTCCATCAAGAATTCATCTGCCGCTGTTAGAGCTTCAAAGTTTTCGTTCCAACACAGCTGATGTTACTATCACTTCGGAACTGCCACCTCTCAGAATAATTTATCCCATACACAGGAGAGATGGAATTATTTATGAAGATACCGCCATCATCCCATAGCAAATGCAACAATTTATACAGGGAAAGAGGAATATAGATGTAATAATATAACCAACTACATACATACATTAGTGGATAGCAATACAGAGTACAGTATTATAAGCCTAAGTATATATAAATGCATCGTGACTACTATTTAAAAAAAAGAGGGAGAGGGATAAAATAGGACGGACAGACACAGACTCGGCCCCTGCAACCATAGGTGAGTACACACACACAGACACGGCAACCATAGGTGAGTACACACACACAGACACGGCAACCATAGGTGAGTACACACACACAGACACGGCAACCATAGGTGAGTACACACACACAGACACGGCAACCATAGGTGAGTACACACACACAGACACGGCAACCATAGGTGAGTACACACACACAGACACGGCAACCATAGGTGAGTACACACACACAGACACGGAAACCATAGGTGACTACACACATACAGACACGGCCTAAGACAGCTAACACCTACCTTGATATGAGAGTCTACGACGCTGAAGTGGTAAGAAATGAGTGTAGTCTCTGCCAGCATCAAGAGTGTGTTCCACACCCTCTCCAGGAAGCTCATAGATGCGCCTACCTCACTCAGGAAGTTGGGAACGAGAGCTGGAGACTGGAACACCCCAGCAGCCCGAGACTGCAAGAGCGAGTGTGTTAATTTGATTACCACATAAGGGAGACAACAGCCTAAATTACCTTATGGAAAATACGTGCGCAATACTTTGGCATTTTTACTGTGGATGTATATATTCTGTAGAGAATAAACTGGAAGACACGAAGAGGTCATCTGAGGCGAGACCGAGGAACTGAACGTCTGTCGCGGTTGACGGACTCTTCCAGTTTATTCCATTACAGTTGTGACCGAGTGTGGAATCGTGAATTGCTTATTACTCTATAATTTGTTCATGATCGTAGCCATGTATAAACGTAAGTAACGATACTTACAGGATTCATTACCTTTGTAACTTGTGAGTTCATTACCTTTGTACCTAGTTCAGCTATCAAAACTTTGGGGGCCCAGTCCCTGGACCCATTATGTACCTCTGTAATCTGTAGATACCTTTGTAACTTGTCATGATTGTGACCAGACCTACCTGGAGTTCATTACCTTTGTAAATTGTGAGTTCATTACCTTTGTAATTGTGAGTTCATTACCTTTGTAAATTGTGAGTTCATTACCTTTGTAACTGAGTTCATTACCTTTGTAAATTGTGAGTTCATTACCTTTGTAACTTGTTCAGCTATCAAAACTTTGAGGCCCAGTCCCTGGACACATTATGTACCTCTGTAATCTTTTGACTACCGCCCACAGGATGGGTATGGGGTGCAAAATAAAGATATTAAACTAAACAGTTTATTCTCTATACTGGCTCCATAAATCTGCTGCTTGGCGAAACCTCCTCACAGTAAACATGTGTCTTTGTCATCTACTTGTCAGTTCTTTATACCATTAATAAAATAAAACTTAAACCTGTAACAAATTGAGACTTACGGAATGTCCAGAAAATAGATATTCTCGACAACTACACCAATAAAACTCTTCATCGATACGTACTTCAAATATTAAAGCACTGAAGTACGGTAGAGCATTTTTACAATTTAGCAATGTGTATCACAGGGTGCACCAAGAGGAAGAAAATCGCTAAATATACCTCTCAAAACAGTGTTTAAGATCAACACAGAACCTATTTATTTATTTATTTATTTATTTATTATTTATTTGAACATGATACAGAGAAGTACAAAGGAATACAGTTATTACTGTGCTTGTTTCCTCGCAAGGAGACAAGCATAAGAACTAGACAATTTGATAGTGTATTCCCTGATAGCAATAAATTTATGCATCTTGCAGCTTAGAGAAACCACAAAGTTGCAGACACACACACTGTTCAAGGACAAAGAAGTATGTGAAGAGCTAAACACGAGATTTAAGATAGTGTTTTCAGTGGAGACAGACTGGACTACAGGCGGTGAAGAGGCTGCTAAGTGAGCTAGATACCTCAAAGGACAATATCTCTCCGTGGGTCCTGAGAGAGGGAGCAGAGGCGCTGTGTGCGCCACTAACAACAATCAACACACCTATCGAAACATGGCAACTACCTGAGGTGTCGAAGACAGCAAATTTAGTCCCAGTCATTAAGAAAGGAAACAGGCAGGTAGCACTACAGACCAGTGTCACTGACATGTATAGTGTGCAAAGTCTAGAAGTTTATTGGGAAAAGACTGGTGGAGTACCTAGAAAGGAATGAGCTATACACGGTTTCAGGAAGGGGAAATCCTGTGTCAGTCACATTCCTACTGATGTTTTACGACAAGGTGACAGAAGACATAAGAAGGAGGAGTGGGTAGACTGCATTTTTTTTGGACTGTAAAAAGACCTTCAACACAGTTCCACACAAGAGATTAGTGTAAAAGCTAGAGGAGCAGGCAAGAATAACAGAAAAGGCATTGCAATGGATCAGAGAATACTTGACAGTAAGAATGAGTGATGATACGTGATGAGGTGTTAAGTGGGCGCCTGTGACGAGCGGGGTTCCACAAGGGTCAGTCCTAGAGCCGGTGCTGTTTCTGGTATATGTGAATGACATAACATGACATGACACCTGTGAGAGTAACATTATGAAGGAAGTTTTGCTAGCTGTAAACTGACAGATGCTTCACCATGTATCAAAATATTGCTGCCTAAGACTTAGATGCTCTAGTATACAGAAAGAAAATCTAGCCATTAACAAAGCCCCAGTGGCGTTGCTAGGGTTGGTGTCACCCGGGGCGGCATCTTTGGTGTCACCCCCATGAAATCCAAGGGCGGGGGAAGTAAACTCCAGTTACGTCACTACTACATGACCAGTGACTAATGTTTAGCAATGAGAACGTTTAAGGGTCATAAACCGAACAGGAGAATACTTCTCGACTTTATTAATGATAAAATATATAGTCGTAGTAATATTGAGGAAATAAACTCATACCACTTTTAGTACAGGCAACAGATCATACATTTATTCATCTTCAACAATGCAAAAAATAAAAAAAAATAAAAATAAAGAAAAACATTGCAATATCAGAGCAACACTAATTCCGATTTCACCTTGAGTACAGGTATCATCTCAATGAATCTGATCTTACATTTCCTTGGCTTCAATCCTGCAAGATCATCTATCACATCATCAAAATCAATGTTTTTTTCCGTAGATAGGCCCATTTGTACTCTGTAATCATATAATAGGCTATATAGAAACGAAATATTTTTCTCTAATGTTGCTGCAGTACTGTTTTAGGCATTAGTGTCACCTTCTTTAGAGGCTCTATGGTGCCACCCCTTCATGGTGTCACCCGGGGCGGCCCGCCCCCTCTTTACGACGCCACTGCAAAGCCCTATAAAACATGTGGTCATCCACAACATCACTTTAAGAACACCAAAGAAACAGCAGCTATAGAACAATTTCATCTAATCACTATATTAGCACAGTTCCAAGTACAGTACTACAGAGCCATGGCTGATCGTACACTACACATACAACTCGCACGCAAGTGATACTTATGACGATGTTTTGGTTCCCCTTAGAACATTAACGGGACTATTAATGGTCAAAATCGGACCGAAACGCCGTTGTAAGTTTTTCTCCTACCTGGGTGTTATCAGTGTAGTGTACCATCGACCTTGGCTTTGTAGTGTATTGTTCCAGTCACGGTATTGTGCCTTTTTATTCTCCAAGGTCGATAGATTGTAACTGAGCCAGAGACACTTGCTACGCAACCCACCAACCAAACTACAAATAGTTAATGGTCCAAGTTGGACCGAAATGTCTTCATAAGTTTCTTTCTCCTGTGTACGAGTTATATGTGCATTATAGCTCAGTGTACTGCCTCATCTAAGGAACTATCACCACAACTTATAACGACAACACTTCGTTCATCTAAAGGTAGTCAAAAATACGTGTACACAAAAGCAACTAGATACAAAACTAATCAAGAAAATATAAGCTGAAGAAAAATATTTATGCTGACATTTCGATCAATTATAGATTGTCTAGCCATACTTGATAAATTTATTATTATTACAATCAAGGGGGAAGCGCTAAACCCGGAGGATTATACAGCGCCTGGGGGGGGATGTGGAAGGCATTCAGGCTTAATTTGGGGAACTGGAGCACAGATCCAATTCCCTAAATCAAGAGCCCCTCACCAACATCAAGGAACCTTCCTTGAGGGGCATACTTGATAAAGATCTTAACATATCGAAATTATAAAAGTTGGTATGTAGTGGGTTTTTTCACGATTGTTGCAGTAGGTTATCTAGATACAAATATTAAACAAATTTTCCCCAAGGTTGCGGGTAGAGGGAAGAGCAGTTATTAATATTATGTTACTATTGCTATTATTGATTATTATTGATTGCTATTACTGATTATTACTGTGATAGTGATGTTATTATTATAATAGTTGTAATAATTGTAAGTTATTGTAACTGTTGTTGTTGCTGCTGCTACAATTAGCGGAAGTAAAAAACAAAATTGGTGGGGGTCTGGACCCATGGCAAGAGAGTCCGTAAGTCCACCATATGGTGTGTACAGAAATATACCAAGTTGGAGGAGACTTATTAGAGCCACCTGGCCCAGTGGCTAGCGCATTGGCCCGTGAATTTTAGTACTTGCTCGCCATGGGTTCAAACCCTAACCTGTTCCATGTTATTATGATTTAGTGAATCATGGCAGTGGTAGTAATATCAGCAGACAGCAAGAGAGGAGGAATAAGAGTGTGTTAGACATACAAAATGACAGACTTTGCAACAATCTGTTAAGCATATTATAAACAATTATCAATAACGAAGACAGTTCATATGTTAACCGCACTATTAGATAGCGATAAAATTTATTCATTACAACAAACAATCAACATTAAACATTACCTGGTTAATGGTAACCTCGATTCGATTCTATACCCCTGGATAATGGACAGATAATTAACCTCACACAACTAGGTAACCAGATTAATCATAATTATCATCGCCGTCTATTCGTAGTTCACATTTCACAATGCCCCATATATATATATATATATATATATATATATATATATATATATATATATATATATATATATATATATTATATATATATATATATAAAGAGTAAGGTTATGAGGAGAATAAAAAGATTAGGTGATGAAAGATTGGATATCAAATTGGAGGGAGAGAGTATAGAGGAGGTGAATGTATTCAGATATTTAGGAGTGAACTTGTCAGCAGATGGGTCTATGAAGGAGATGAATCATAGAATTGATGAGGGGAAAAAGGTGAGTGGTGCACTTAGGAGTCTGTGGAGACAAAGAACTTTGTGGAAGCAAAGATGGGAATGTATGAGAGTATAGTTAAGTAAGTAAGTAAGTTTATTCAGGTATACACAAATACAGTTACATAGAATTATCATACATAGCAGCATATGTGTAGAGAACCTAGGATAACCCAAAAAAGTCAGACAGAGTGACTTATTTCCAACACTCTTGTATGGGTGTGAAGCATGGATGATGAATGTTGCAACGAGGAGAAGGCTTGAGGCAGTGGAGATGTCATGTCTGAGGGCAATGTGTGGTGTGAATATAATGCAGAGATTTCGTAGTTTAGAAATTAGGAGAAGGTGTGGGATTACCAAAACTGTTGTCCAGAGGGCTGAGGAAGGGTTGTTGAGGTGGTTCGGACATATAGAGAGAATGGAACAAAACAGAATGACTTCGAGAGTGTATGAACTTGTAGTGGAGGGAAGGCGGGGTAGGGGTCGGCCTAGCAAGGGTTGGAGGGAGGGGGTAAAGGAGGTTTTGTGTGCGAGGGGCTTGGACTTCCAGCAGGCATGCATGAGCGTGTTTGATAGGAGTGAATGGAGACTAATGGTTTTTAATACTTGACGTGCTGTTGGAGTGTGAGCAAAGTAACATTTATGAAGGGGTTCAGGGAAACCGGCAGGCCGGACTTGAGTCCTGGAGATGAGAAGTACAGTGCCTGCACTCTGAAGGAGGGGTGTTAATGTTGCAGCTTTATAACTGTAGTGTAAAGCATCCTTCTGGCAAGACTGATGGAGTGAATGATGAAAGTTTTACTTTCTCGGACCACCCTGTCTTGGTGGGAATCGGCCGATGTGTTAATAAAATAAATAAGTATATATATATATATATATATATATATATATATATATATATATATATATATATATATATATATATATATATATTATATAATGAACAAGTATAACTAATGAAAAAGGGATAAATATAGGGTGTATAATATAGAGATCAAACTAATTAACAAAAAACTCAAATATCTCAAAGATGTGGAACAGTAGTCCCAGGAGGTACGAGGCTAAATAGAATACAAGAGACATTGGTGCGTACCTTCCTTACTTCACCCTGGAGGTACATGTGTAGTGTATTTATTTATGTCTTTGCAAATAGTACATTGAGATTATGTATTTACAATAATGGGTTGCAGTGCAAAAAGAGCCTCTGTTATGCCTAGGCATTATGGGCCGACTTAACATTATTGACTTAACATTATTACCTCCCCGCACGTGGTATGGTTTGTTTGCAATCGTGTCATTACGATTTCATAAGTCATGACGACGGTTTTGAGGGGACTAGAGCTAGAGGTCGTAACGGCCACGCTGGCGGGAGATTCATCTGTAAAAACTTGCATTTGTGGTCACAGTGGGGCCTGTGCTAACCTCTCTATGGTGTATAAATATACCTAGCTGGATGAATCTAATTGTAGTCAGCTGGCCCAGTGATTTACAACTCACTCTCCAAGAGTTTAATCCCCGCCCGTGGTATGGTTTGTCTGCAATCGTGTCATTACGATTTTGTGAGTTAGTGTGTGGTGTATTAGGTAGGTTCCTTACCTCGCCACCCTGAAAGGAAAAACCCCAGAACCCGATGACAGGGAGATGGAGAGTGTAGGCCAGTGCCAAGGAGCACTCGTTGCCGATGATGTCCACTACAGCCAGAGTGAAGTTGGCCCGCTGCAGCCTCCTCAACAATGCAGAATCCCCCAGAAGTGTAATGCAGTGAGCATCGATCAGTCCGAACACATCGGTGGGAATCTGTTCGCAGACAGATGAAAGGTTGATAAGAACATAAGAACATAAGAAAGGAGGAACACTGCAGCAGGCCTGTTGGCCCATACTAGGCAGGTCCTTTACAATTCATCCCACTAACAAACATTTGACCAACCCAATTTTCAATGCCACCCAAGAAACAAGCTCCGATGTGCAAGTCCCTCTCAAATCCAACCCCTCCCACTCATGTACTTATCCAACCTAAATTTAAAACTACCCAAAGTCCTAGCCTCAATAACCCAACTAGGTAGACTGTTCCACTCATCAACTACCCTATTTCCAAACCAATACTTTCCTATGTCCTTTCTAAATCTAAACTTATCTAATTTAAATCCATTACTGCGGGTTCTCTCTTGGAGAGATATCCTCAAGACCTTGTTAATATCCCCTTTATTAATACCTATCTTCCACTTATACACTTCGATCAGGTCTCCCCTCATTCTTCGTCTAACAAGTGAATGTAACTTAAGAGTCTTCAATCTTTCTTCATAAGGAAGATTTCTAATGCTATGTATTAATTTAGTCATCCTACGCTGAATGTTTTCTAACGAATTTATGTCCATTCTGTAATATGGAGACAGAATTGAGCTGCATAATCTAGGTGAGGCCTTACTAATGATGTATAAAGCTGCAGTATGACCTCTGGACTTCTGTTGCTTACACTTCTTGATATAAATCCCAGTAATCTATTTGCCTTATTACGTACGCTTAGGCATTGCTGTCTTGGTTTAAGGTTGCTGCTTACCATAACCCCCAAGTCCTTTTCGCAATCTGTATGGCTAAGTTCTACATTATTTAACTTATAAGTGCTAGGGTTATGGACACTCCCGAGCTTCAGAACCTTGCATTTATCTACATTGAACTGCATCTGCCACTTTTCTGACCAAGAGTAGAGTTTGTCTAAATCCTCCTGAAGTTCCCTAACATCTACGTTTGAATCAATTATCCTACCTATCTTCGTGTCATCGGCGAATTTGCTCATATCACTAGCAATTCCTTCATCAAGATCATTGATATATATTATAAACAACAACGGGCCCAAGACTGATCCCTGTGGAACGCCACTTGTTACTGATCCCCACTCGGATTTAACCCCATTTATGGACACTCTCTGCTTCCTGTCTGTGAGCCATGACTCGATCCACGAGAGCACCCTTCCCCCAATGCCATGAGCTGCTACTTTCTTCAACAGTCTTTGGTGCGGAACTCTATCAAATGCCTTACTAAAATCTAAGTAAATAATATCAAATTCTTTATCATGGTCAACAGCCTCAAAAGCTTTACTGAAGAAAGTTATATAAATTAGTTAGACAAGACCGGCCTCTTGTGAATCCATGCTGAGTTATCATTAATCAAGCTATGCTTATCGAGATGGCTTCTTATAATCTCAGCTATAATTGACTCTAGTAATTTGCCTACAATTGAGGTCAGGCTTATTGGGCGGTAATTTGACGGTAACGACTTGTCCCTGTTTTAAAAATAGGAATTACATTAGCCATCTTCCACATATCAGACACTACACCTGTTTGAAGAGATAAATTAAAAATATTAGTTAATGGTTCACAGACTTCCATTTTGCATTCCTTAAGAACCCTTGAAAAAACCTCATCAGGACCCGGTGACTTATTTTGCTTCAGTCGGTTTATCTGCTTCACAACCATTTCACTAGTGACTGTGATGTTACATAATTTATCTTCTTCTGATCCACTATAAAAATTAATTACCGGAATATTATTAGTGTCTTCCTGTGTAAAAACCGAGAGAAAATAATTATTTAAAATCGAGCACATTTCATTCTCTTTGTCAGTAAGATGCCCATAGTTATTTTTAAGGGGACCTATCTTATCTCTGACTTTTGTTCTATATACCTGGAAAAACTTTTTGGGTTAGTTTTAGAATCCCTAGCAACTTTAATTTCATAGTCCCTTTTAGCTTTTCTTATCCCTTTTTTAATGTCCCTCTTAATGTCAATATACTGATTCGTAAGATGACCCTCGCCTCTTTTGATACGCCTATAAATTCCTTTCTTATGCCCTAGTAGATATTTCAGCCTATTATTCATCCATTTTGGGTCATTTCTATTTGATCTAATTTCCTTATAAGGGATAAACGTTCTTTGAGCAGCATGTATGGTGTTCAGAAAACTGTCATATTGATAGCTCTCTTCGTTACCCCAGTCAACAGATGATAAAGGAGTGTTCAAAATTAACTAAATGTTGTAAATGAAATCTTCCTTATGAAGAAAGATTGAAGACTCTTAAGTTACATTCACTTGTTAGACGAAGAATGAGGGGAGACCTGATCGAAGTGTATAAGTGGAAGATAGGTATTAATAAAGGGGATATTAACAAGGTCTTGAGGATCTCTCTCCAAGAGAGAACCCGCAGTAATGGATTTAAATTAGATAAGTTTAGATTTAGAAAGGACATAGGAAAGTATTGGTTTGGAAATAGGGTAGTAGATGAGTGGATTTGTTCATGACTGTAACCATGTATAGGAGTGAGGCTGATTCATTACCTCTGTAACTTGCCATGATTGTGACCAGATCTACCTGGAGTTCATTACCTTTGTAACTAGTTCAGCTATCATAACTTTGGGGTCCAGTCACTGGACCCATTATGTACCTTTGTAATCTGGAAATATAAACACAAATGCAGTATAATGTGATCCTTTATTGACTACGTTTCGCCCACACAGTGAAAAAGCCCACTGTGTGGGCGAAACGTAGTCAATAAAGGATCACATTATACTGCATTTGTGTTTATATTTCCATTGTGTCGGTATTTTATACCATTTATTTCCACCTTTGTAATCTTTTGACTACCGCCCACAGGATGGGTATGAGGTGCATAATAAAGATATTAAACTAAAGTGTGTGTGTGTTGTGTGTTGTGTGTGTGTGTGTGTGTGTGTGTGTCTGTCTGTTGTGTGTGTACTCACCTATTTGTGGTTGCGTGTGTGTGTGTACTCACCTCACCTATTTGTGGTTGCAGGGGTCGAGTCCTAGCTCCTGGCCCCGCCTCTTCACCGGTTGCTACTAGACCCTCTCTCTCCCCGCTCCATGAGCTTTATCAAACCTCGTCTTAAAACTGTGTATGGTTCCTGCCTCCACTACGTCATTTTCTAGGCTATTCCACTGCCTTACAACTCTATGACTGAAGAAATACTTCCTACTATCTCTCTGACTCATTTGTGTCTTCAACTTCCAATTGTGGCCTCTTGTTTCTGTGTCCCCTCCCTGGAACATCCTGTCCTTGTCCACCTTGTCTATTCCACGCAGTATTTTATATGTCGTTATCATGTCTCCCCTGACCCTCCTGTCCTCCAGTGTCGTCAGGCCGATTTCCCTTAATCTTTCTTCATAGGACATTCCCCTTAGCTCTGGAACTAACCTTGTTGCAAACCTTTGTACTTTCTCTAGTTTCTTGACGTGCTTTATCAAGTGCGGGTTCCAAACAGGTGCTGCATACTCCAGTATGGGCCTGACATACACGGTGTACAGTGTCTTGAATGATTCCTTACTAAGGTGTCGGAATGCTGTTCTCAGGTTTGCCAGGCGCCCATATGCTGCAGCAGTTATCTGATTGATGTGTGCTTCCGGAGACATGCATGTGTGTGTGTGTGTGTGTGTGTGTGTGTGTGTGTGTGTGTGTGTGTGTGTGTGTGTGTGTGGTGTGTGTGTGTGTGTGTGTGTGTGTGTGTGTGACTCAACAATCAATATTTGCACCAATAACTCATTACAGTTGTGACCGGGTGTGGAAGTGTGAATTGCTCATTACACTATAATTTGTTCATGATTGTAGCCATGTATAAACGTAAGTAACCATTCTTACAGTATTCATTACCTTTGTAACTTGTGAGCTCATTACCTTTGTACCTAGTTCAGCTATCAAAACTTTGGGGGCCCAGTCCCTGGACCCATTACGTACCTCTGTAATCTGTAAATACCTTTGTAACTTGACATGATTGTGACCAGACCTACCTGGAGTTCATTACCTTTGTAAATTGTGAGTTCATTACTTTTGTAAATTGTGAGTTCATTACCTTTGTAAATTGTGAATTCATTACCTCTGTAACTTGCTCAGCTATCAAAACTTTGGAGTCCAGTCCCTGGACCAATTATGTACCTCTGTAATCTTTTGACTACCGCCCACAGGATGGGTATGGGGTGCATAATAAACATATTAAACTAAAAAGATGAGTGGAACAGTCTACCTAGTTGGGTTATTGAAGCTAGGACTTTGGGTAGTTTCAAATTTAGGTTGGATAAATACATGAGTGGGAGGGGTTGGATTTGAGAGGGACTTGCACATCAGAGCTTATTTCTTGGGTAGCATTGAAAATTGGGTTGGTCAAATGTTTGTTAGTGGGATGAATTGTAAAGGACCTGCCTAGTATGGGCCAACAGGCCTCCTGCAGTGTTCCTCCTTTCTTATGTTAATATTATTATAATCATGGGGGAGCGCTAAACCCGTAGGATTATATAGCGCATGTAGGGGAGGGGATGGAAGGTATTCAGGCTCGGTTCAGGGAACTGGAGCACAGATCCAAATCCCTAGATCAAGAGCCCCTCGCCAGCATCAAGGAACCTCCCTTGAGGGGGATGTAACTGAAAAGTTATTCAGTGATTCATGCAATGAGAAAATTCGCATTCACAGTCACTCAAGTTAAAACTAATCCATAGTCGATTATAATCAAAACTAAGCGCTAAACCCAAGAGGGTCATCCCTTAGTTGAAAACCATTCATACAAGCGCACAAAGCAATAAATTATTTTATTATTAAAATGCCCCATGTTAGTTATAAATATCAACTGAGGTACTTCAAACTCAGGACTTAAAATATTACAGAGCTCCTGGTAGGCACCTCAATGATTACAACAACCCAATGAATTCGGTAAGGCCGAAGCCAGGAGCAGACAGCAAAAATATGCCATAAAGCGTGGTCAATATGGAAAAAGTCATCAATCATTGGTATCTGTCAAAAAGAACTGGGATGACAGTAGCTCAATGGTAGCACTTTTCATTCTACCAAAAGCACCAGTAATGGAAGCGGAACGTATGAGACTCTCTTAACAATTGTACATAAGATTAATCTACTTTTGAGAGTCGCATCTTAGAAAGAACCTAAAAAACACTCCAATTAAAATAAGTCCGGTGCTGGGTACTCTTGGGTTATCTTGTTTTATTAAAGGTTCGTGGTTACTTAACCCAATAAATTACTTTCCTGTATTTAAATTAATTATAATCATGGGGAGCGCTAAACCCGTAGGATTATACAGCGCATGTGGGGGGGGGGAATGGAAGGTATTCAGGCTCAATTCAGGAAACGGGAGCACTGATTCAATTCCTAAGATCAAGAGTCCCTCACCAGCGTCAAGGAACCTCCCTTGAGGGGACTGTATTTAAAATGTTTGTGGTTAGTAATGGAAGGTGGAAGTGGAGAAGTTTGGAGGGATGGGGGAAGGGATGTAATTATGGTGCGTGTGGCATACAGGTGTAGGTCAGGGACAATATTCTCCTATTGTAAAAGATTAAGTCATAATACCGTGAATGGAACAGCACACAACCCACATTTCGAAGAGAAAACTTTAGAAGACGTTTCCGTCATTGTGTGTGTGTGTGTGTGGTGTGTATTCGCTTCCTATGGTTATAAAAGTATCTTGTTGCATCAACCTTTCTTGTAGTCTCTTCATGCCTATTTCTCGAGTTTTTTTTTTTTTCCGTCTGAGAGAAATGTGTCCCTATATGAGATCTCTGTGGTCAATTGTCTCTGTTACTGAAGTGTGAGAGGTTTGTGTTCATATGTCTGGGTTACTGGCTTATGAGAGGTTATGACCATATACCTGGGTTATTTACCTGCCATAGGTGACGTGGTCTCTCCCATAGCATTTTGGTGGGAGGGTGGAAAGTCCCATCCAGCTTCATGTAGGGGTATCTGAAACACACACATCAGTAAGTGGTACTGCAACACAAATCGACACGCAGATTTTCCAAATACCAGTGATAATGTTGAGTGCGTTCTGAACGGAGAATAATTATGGTGGCAGACCTAAATGTTGTGTGTGTGTGTGTGTGTGTGTGTGTTTTACATGGCCCCACATGCAAGTTTAGAGTACCAGAGGTAAATGATAATAGGGCCTCTAAATAATGTATCGAAAAGAAGTTCGATAATGGGCAAATGTTATTTGAAGACGAGGATAAATAAGTGTACGAGATAAGATATTGTGCATAATTACAACATTGTGGTAGACTATGAAAGATAAAAAGGTTGATGGGCAGATTTTTATGTGCATATTTTTAAGAGGAGCATCAGCTGTGTCAGCCCATTATTTGGTTGTAGCTGTCGTAAAAGAGGCGGATGGTGCATAAGAACAGTGTTAGATGAAGACCGTCACAGGTAGGCGGGATCTTCCACTGGAAGTTATACCCAAAAGGTGGTCCAGATATTAACATTAAGATTCCATGTTAGTGTTACAATCATAACTAAGCGCTAAACCCACTAGGGTCATGCAGAATAGATTCCATGATGAATCTAAAAGTTGTTCTATCTCCCATGATAATATGTTAGCCAAGTCGTTGTAGAACAACGACTTGGCTAACATATTATCATGGGAGAGCGCTAAACCCGTAGGGATTATACAGCGCTGTGGAGGGAGGGGAAGAAAGGTATTCAAGTTTAATTCAGGAAATTGGAGCACAGATCTATTACAAACACAGGTAATAAATGGTCTGTGACCTGGTCGTAACGAGGTTTTGGAGCAAAACAAACTCAGCAGATAGACTATAATATATATTTTACCTTCACTCACTATATACAAATATATACACTATGTACAGATGGAATAATAATAAGTGTACATGCTGGTGACAGATGGCAAAGCAAAGCCAGAGAGAGTGCACCGTACTTGACCAGCAGACAGGCAAGCCTGGCAAATGCTGACCGCAACTGAACCACATTATCTCAACATTTAGCGGGCTTGCCTGTGATTAGTCAATGAACCAAAGTACTGATTTAACGACGGGTACTCTAATAATCGTTAAACCCTTAGCACCCGGTTCGCTGGTTAGGAGGCAGCCTATATGGAAGTGTGACATACACCAAATAAATTGTAACATACTCTTTGCATGCCACAGATTCAATTTCCTAGATCAAGAGCCCAACTCCCTGGAGGAGTTTGCTAATATGAACCACATCAGAGGCATAACTTCCAGCAGTGGGTCCCACCCACCTGTGAGGATGTATACAACTGATGAAGCCTCACTATTCTTCCACTGGCACTTGTATCAAAGCCTCTGTCCTTATACATCTGTATTAGATTGACAAAACCTGCTGCGCAGGACGAAAGTCTTTCCAATAAAGGTAACCAAGTATTGCACATACATCTTATTCGTCAACTTGTAGGTATATTGAACTCATGCCCCACAGATTTTGTAGTGTATTGCGTTAAGAGTGCATGATGACGGTGGGGGGGGGGGAGAGCGGTAAGCTTCAATACCTGCAACTAGTTGTTCAACTGAATACCAGTGTGAACAGTATATAACAGGAAGAAGGCCTGCGGATTTTGGGAGGCAGGATCTTCCTAATTTGCAAGTGTTATTTAGTTTAGTTTAATATGTTTATTATGCACCCCATACCCATCCTGTGGGCGGTAGTCAAAAGATTACTGAGGTACATAATGTGTCCAGGGGCTGGGCCTCAAAGTTTTGATAGATGAGCAAGTTACAAAGGTAATGAACTCCAGGTAGATCTGGTCACAGTCATGACAAGTTACAAAGGTATTTACAGATTACAAAGGTACATAATGGGTCCAGGGACTGGGCCCCAAAGTTTTGATAGCTGAACAAGGTATGAAGGTAATAAACTCACAAGTTACAAACGTAACTTGTGAGTTGATACATGGCTACAATCATGAACAAATTATAGAGTAATGAACAATTCACACGAGACGACCGAGAGGTTTGTCAGGAGCTCAACACAAGATTTAAAGAGGTATTTACAGTGGAAACCAGTAGGACTCCAAGACATCAGAACAGGGGGGCACATCAGCAAGTGCTGGATGAGGTACATATAACCAAGGAGGAGGTGAAGAAGCTGCTATGCGAACTTGACACCTCAAAGGCGGTGGGACCAGACAACATCTCTCTATGGGTCCTTAAAGAGGGAGCAGAGATATTGTGTGAGCCATTAACAAAGATCTTCAACACATCATTTGAAACTGGGCAACTCCCTGAGGTATGGAAAATGGCAAATGCAGTCCCAATTTTTAAAAAGGGAGACAGACATGAGGCACTAAACTACAGACCTGTATCACTAACGTGTATAGTATGCAAGGTCATGGAAGATCATCAGGAGGGAGAGTGGTGGGGCACCTGGAAAGAAACAAGTGTATAATTGACAACCAGCACGGTTTCAGGGAAGGAAAATCCTGTGTCACAAACCTACTAGAGTTTTATGACAAGGTGACAGAAGTAAGACAAGAGAGAGAGGGGTGGATCGACTGCATATTTTTGGACTGCAAGAAGGCCTTCGACACAGTTTCCTCACAAGAGGTTACTGCAAAAGCTAGAGGACCAGGCACACATAACAGGAAAGGCACTGCAATGGATCAGAGAATATCTGACAGGGAGGCAACAACGAGTCATGGTACGCGACAAGGTGTCGAGTGGGGGCCTGTGACAAGCGGGGTTCCACAGGGGTCAGTCTAGGACCTGTGCTGTTCTTGGTATATGTGAACGACATAACGGAAGGGATAGACTCAGAAGTGTCCTTGTTTGCAGATGATGTGAAGTTAATGAGAAGAATCAAATCGGACGAGGATCAGGCAGGACTACAAAGAGACCTGGACAGGCTACAAGCCTGGTCCAGCAACTGGCTCCTTGAATTTAACCCTGCCAAATGCAAAGTCATGAAGATTGGGGAAGGGCAAAGAAGACCGCAGACACAGTATAGTTTAGATGGCCAAAGACTGCAAACCTCACTCAAGGAAAAAGATCTGGGGGTGAGTTATAACACCGAGCATATCTCCCGAGGCGCACATCAATCAGATAACTGCTGCAGCATACGGGCGCCTGGCAAACCTACGGATAGCGTTCCGATACCTCAATAAGGATTCGTTTAAGACTCTGTATACCATCTACGTCAGGCCCATACTGGAGTATGCAGCACCAGTTTGGAATCCACACTTAGTCAAGCACGTCAAGAAATTAGAGAAAGTGCAAAGGTTTGCAACAAGACTAGTCCCAGAGCTACGGGGATTGTCCTATGAAGAAAGGTTGAGGGAAATCGGCCTGACGACACTGGAGGACAGGAGGGTCAGGGGAGACATGATAACGACATATAAAATACTGCGCGGAATAGACGAGGTGGACAAAGACGGGATGTTCCAGAGATGGGACACAGACACAAGAGGTCACAATTGAAGTTGAAGACTCAGATGAATCAAAGGGATGTTAGGAAGTATTTCTTCAGTCATAGAGTAGTCAGGCCATGGAATAGCTTAGAAAGTGATGTAGTGGAGGCAGGAACCATACATAGTTTTAAGGCGAGGTATGATAGAGCTCATGGGGCAGGGAGAGAGAGGACCTAGTAGCAATCAGCGAAGAGGCGGGGCCAGGAGCTGTGAATCGACCCCTGCAACCACAAATAGGTGAGTACAAATAGGTGAGTACACACACACACACACACACACAGAGCGATCAGTGAAGAGGCGGGGCCAGGAGCGGAGTCTCGACCTCTCCAACTACAATTAGGCGAGTATATTCACACACACACAAACACACACACACACACACACACACACACATGAGTATACATACACGTACGAGCACAAGCACTCACACATATATGAGTACACAAACACACATAAAAGAAAACACATAAGCACACACATACACACACACACACAAGGAATGTCCTACGAAGAAAGGTTGAGGGAAATCGGCTTGACGACAATGGAGGACAGGAGGGTCAGGGGAGACATGATAACAACATACAAAATACTGCGTGGAATAGATAAGGTGGACAGAGACAGGATGTTCCAGAGAGGGGACACAGAAACAAGGGGTCACAATTGGAAGCTGAAGACTCAGACGAGTCAAATGGATGTTAGGAAGTATTTCTTCAGTCATAGAGTTGTCAGGAAGTGGAATAGTCTAGCAAGTGATGTAGTGGAGGCAGGAATCATACATAGCTTTAAGATGAGGTATGTCATACCTCATCTTAAAGCTCCTGGCGGGGCCAGGAGCTGAGTCTCGACCCCTGCAACCACAATTAGGTGAGTACACATGTTATTAGCCAGTATCACTGTAAAGTCGGAAGTTATTACATGTGCTCTTTTAGTAAGAAGAGTAAGTATTTGGATGGAATTTTCTCGTTACCGGCATGAAATTGATTGGGTTCGTCCGTGTAGAGTGGACTTTATGACAAATGGAACAAGTATTAATGTTTGTGGGGTTAATTTAATGTTTCACTATTGCCACAGTGAGAGTAATTTTGATGACTGTATCAGTGAATGCAGCATCAGCAGATTTTTCAACCCAAGTTGGATTTCCTAATCTAGAATTTTATCATAGCATGAACCAGTTCAAGAAGAGTGCCAAAAGGTGTCTGATGAATGTAGCTACAGAAAGGGAGGGGAATGATTTTCTGTTTTTTAGCTAACATAAGTGTAAATTTTACCTTATTCCAAGTAATGACCCTCGTATTGTAGATAGTCTTAATGACCCTCGTGTAGTAGATAGTCTTTGTAGTATAATAATAAGATGTTATCTTCATTATAGAATAATAAGAAAATATTATAACCTTTATATTATAATAATAAGGTAAAAGGACCCCAATGGAAATAAGTCACTTTGACTTTTTTTTTTTTTTGTAATTTGTCATGATTGTGACCTGACCTACCTGGAGTTCATTACCTTTGTAAATTGTGAGTTCATTACCTCTGTAACTTGCTCAGCTATCAAAACTTTGGAGTCCAGTCCCTGGACCAATTATGTACCTCTGTAATCTTTTGACTACCGCCCACAGGATGGGTATGGGGTGCATAATAAACATATTAAACTGTCAAAAAACAACAGCGGAAGAAATATATCTGTGAAGATAAAAGTAACTAAAATGATTAAAGACAGAATTACCGACAATATCTTAGGTAACGGCTTGACAAAGCGCCTGGAGAGCTAAACGTTGCCACATTAAGCTGTCACGCTAGTTGCACTTGTGTACTTTTGCTCCACTAAAATGATAACAGCAACAACGATACAAAAGAGCACTTCACAAAGTTCATTATGAAAGTTATTTGGCAAGTTACAAAGGTAGTGAATGGTTCATTACCTTCATAACTTGTTCAGTTATCAAAACTTTGCAGTCCAGTCCCTGGACCCATTATGTACCTCTAACCTTTTTGACTGCCGCCCACAGGATGGGTATGGGGTGCTTTATAAAGATATTAAACTAACGTAAGAGCAGGGAGCACGGAGAGTCATGCCATCGCTGCCATCCATAGCTGAAGCTGAGGAAGATGAAACATAATATTATGGCTGCTCAGGGAAATTGGGAAACTTTGTTATCGATGTGTGAAGGGAGAAGGAACATTGTCATTCAACGTGAGATTTAGAAAGCTTTGGTCAATTTGTCATCGAGAAAGAATAATAATATTTATTTCTACATCTACAAAGTGTACAGGCCTAGGTGACATCAATGCCATATTACTATACAGAGAGCACCTTGTTATGCAGAGCATTTCGGGCAAATTAGATCAATTTTGTCCCAGGATACGACCCACACCAGTCCACTAACAACCAAGTACCTATTTTACTGCTAAATGAAAAGGGGCAGCAGGTGTCTTAAGGTAACACGTCCCAATGTTTCTACCCATACCGGGGGTCGAACCACGGACCTCAGTGTGTGAGGTGAATGAGCTAGCAATCGAGCTACGAGTTTACATGAGGGGGGAGGGGGTGTGAATTCTTGTTTTTGAAGCCGTGTGGGATGGCCTCCGAGGAGTGTATACCACCTTAGTGTACATAAATGATTATAATCCATGTCAGAAATTATAGTACCATCGATGTTAGTATTCAGGGGAACTAATGTATCAATGTACAGGCGATAACCCTTGTAACTAAAACAAACCAGCAGTAAACATCAATAGCTAACGATCATCTACCATTTATCTCGGTCTGTATTTCTGCGTTTAACTCCATTCATCCACACCCACGCTCATCAACCCCCCCTCCCCATCATTATTCCAGCCTCACCTCCCTCCAGCACGAGCCCATACGCCAAACTTTCTAATTCACTAACCACCCTAATTTACAGTAGTTCAGGTGGAATTCGTAATCTACCTGTCACGCGAGAACACAAAACTCGTCTTTCATGTTGCACTTATGTGTGTTACATTGTTAATCATTATATACTCTCACATGCTGTGTTATCTGTCTCTCTCGTTTACATCATGAAGTTCCGTCCTTTAATATAATGCAGTTCTTTTAATGAAATATTTATATTACAATATGAAACAACGTCGGGTTGCGTGCGGCCATTTGCGGCCAACAGTAACAGCCTGGTTGATCAGGCCCTGATCCACCATGAGTCCTGGTCACAGACCGGACCGCGGGGGCGTTGACCCCGAAACCCTCTCCAGGTATACTCCAGGTAACGTTAATGTGTAGTAAGTGTTTCCTGACAACAGTGTGATGCTATGTTCAAATTACAGTTAGAAGCTGCAATTTAGTGTACAAAATAGTAGCTTAATAGAACAAGTTACAACACCGAGGATGAAACACTTCAATAATAATTCACAGTTTGGTGAGAAAATTTTAGTTGACATTCCAGTCCGTCGTGGATCATCAAGTATTAATAAGTTTCTTTAAATTGTGGGTTAATTGTAAATAGTTCAATACATCCAATAAAATATAACCTTACAAGAACAAAAATAAAAGTATTGCAAGGGAAAATGAACAATACCAAAAGAAGGCAACGTACCAGGATAAAACTTAAGAATATTGTGCAAATAAAAAGTACTTACCTAAGGTCATGGTTGTCAGCCCTGAGTGTGATGACCTCTACTGTGGAGTTGATTTCTTGAGTCTTGCTAGACAACCATCTAACTTGTGTGACCTGGTGACCCCGCTGAACCAACTCCTCTCCGAATCTTCGCAAGGTGAGTTCGTGGCTCCCGGCATATATAGGGTGTAAGATGAGGACCTTGGCCCCTGTGGTGCCACCTGCTTCGTAGTGTTTCACTGCACCTGTTACCACCACCAACACCACAAGACTAACAACAGACTGGTTCATGTTACAAGCTCCAATTTGTTGATATTCATAAGGATACTAGTAACTTCCTCTTGTTCCCTTTCTCTTTCCCTCTTTTTATTCCCTTTCTGGCTTCCTCGTTAAGGCTCTCCGTTAATTTCACGTTTTTTGGTACACTAGAGCCTCAGTTCATTCAGTTTTAATAATTAACTGCACCTGTTCAGATTATCTTTGTGGTCATGTCCATTTATCATACATTTTCTTTTCATATATGTTTTTAGTATTAACTGAACTTTCGCTCCTGTTCATCAAAAGAAAATTAGTTTTAATTCCCGCTCTCTAAGTCTAAAGAATCACTGGATGAGATTGTTTAATGGATTAGGCGGTGTGGGGGGGGGAATGGAGGGGGTTAGTTTATACAATCACCCATACACGCAGCTGCACGAAACAGCCATGTAGGCACGAAACTGCATCAAGCAGGCGCCTTACCCACGGTAGCGGGTAAGGCGCCTGCTTCGTTAGTGGGTAAGGCGCTGCTTCGTTAGTGGGTAAGGTAGTGGGTAAGGCGCTGCTTCGTTGCGTCAGCGCCTTACGTGGGTAAGGCGCTGACGCAACGAAGAAAAACAGCTATACGCACGTATTCTTCTCCTCTTAAGTGACTTAAGAGAATACACGAGCAGGTAACAGTGTTGTAGAAGTGTGAGCTTTGCTCAGATTTCTACAACACAATTGTCCTCGAAGATTTGTTAAGTTATACCATGAATTAAGGAAAGATCCTGGACTTCACCTTACGAAGCAAAGTAAATTCGATAGTAATTATGGACAAGGTAGATTATAGTGGAAAAATGAACATGTTATTAGAAGACGAGGGAACTCGCCTGCCTCTTAACTCCTCTGCAGACGGTCTCAGTATGCTGCTATAACTAGTTTTTCTCTCCTAAATATCTTCAGTGGTGGGGGGGGGGCGTCAGACACCAAAATTCCCCCAGCCCCCCCCCATAAACATAAATAATAGTAACAATAAAACTACTTTAAAACGAGTTTCTTAACCCCCTTCCAACCAGATAATAACCACTTACAGAATTTCTGGCGCCGGCCCTGAATATCTTGATAATATAATGGGAGAATATACTGACAGTATATAATATACAATGTACGAGTTATAACATTTTATTTAAGAATAAATAAAATGCCATAGGTCGCGCACTTTTATTTACATTCTAAATATGTTGTTCAATGTAGTTATACACGCATGCTGGGTTAACTTGCGTTCAATAACCCACACTGGTTTAACGCTTCATGAAATATAATGTAACAAAAATAAATATTTCCCCAGTGTACTCGGGCGAGGAGACAGATTTGTTTGTGTCATAATATGCCAGTGGCTAGAATGTCTCTTGTAAAATAACAATTCAATTCAATTCAATTTTATTCTCTATAATGGTTACAATGTGGGGTTTACAGGTTTTGGGCATTGTGTGGTTTACATGTCATAAAATACTAATTACAGAGGGGGCCACTAGGACACCTAGCATGGCTAGGCATTTCGAGCAGACTTAGATTAATTCTTAACATTAAATCCTTACAGATTATGGTATTAAGGCTAATTGACTACATCATAATTTGTGAGTTTAGCAATATGAATGCTTTTGTTTTGGTACGATACAAAGTCTCTATATTGGAGTATCATAGGGAAACTTATGACTAGTTAGGATTGATTATTTTAAGATTAAGATTAGTATTTCTGGGTTTATAATCAGTGGGTGAGTGAGTGTAATTGTGAACCACCAGGTGGTTATCATGTAGTTAGTTGTCGGGGTGTATCAGGGAGATAAGATGTTTTCTAACTGTAGTTTTGAAAGTGATGGATGTGTCTGCAGTTCGAGTTTTCAGGTAGGGTGTTCCAGATTTTAGGTCCTTTGAAATACATTGAATTTTTGTAAAGGTTTAGTCGAACACGGGGAATGTCATAGAGATGTTTTTGTCTGGTGTTATGCCTGTGGGTTCTGTCACAACTATCAAGAAAGCGTTTTAGGTCAAGGTTAATATTGGAATTTAAGGTCATGTAGATATAGATTGCACAGTATTAAGTGTGGATGTTCTGAACAGGGAGTAAGTTTAGATCTATGAAGAGTGGGGGGGGGGGGGTGTTGCCAGGGATGGGATTTAGTGATTATTCTTACTGCGGCTTTTTGTTGGGTTACTATTGGCTTTAGGTGTGTTGATGCAGCTGAACCCCAAGCACATATAGCATAGGTGAGGTATGGATATATAAGTGATATATAAGTGACTTATGTCATCTCTCACCCTAATCTTGCCACCCTCAACACCATTGTTAACGAGGAGCTGATCAAAATATCGACTTGGATGACAGCCAATAAACTTATGCTTAACACTGACAAAACCTACTATATTATGTTTGGTAGCAGGGCAGGAGATGCACAAAATAACATTAAGATCGACAACACTCTAATTACCAGACATAATGAGGGCAAATTCCTAGGCCTATACCTTGACAACAACCTGAATTTCAGCACCCATATCCAACACATAACCAAAAAAGTATCCAAAACGGTTGGGATCCTCTCCAAGATACGATACTACGTGCCGCAAATTGCCCTTCTCACACTATACCACTCACTTATTTATCCATACCTCACCTATGCTATTTGTGCTTGGGGATCAACTGCAGCAAACACACCTAAAGCCAATAATAACCCACAAAAAGCCGCAGTAAGAATAATCACTAAATCCATCCCTGGCACACACCACCCCCCCACTCTTCATAGATCTAAACTTACTCCCTGTTCAGTACATCCACACTTACTACTGTGCAATCTACATCTACAGGACCTTAAACTCCAATATCAACCTTGACCTAAAACGCTTTCTTGATAGTTGTGACAGAACCCACAGGCATAACACCAGACACACAAACATCTCTACGACATTCCCCGTGTCCGACTAAACCTTTACAAAAATTCAATGTATGTCAAAGGCCCTAAAATCTGGAACACCCTACCTGAGAACTCTAGAACTGCAGACACATTCATCACCTTCAAAACTATCATTAGAAAACATCTTATCTCCCTGATACACCCCATCAACTAACTACACGAATACCACCTGGTGGTTCACACTTACACTCACTCACCCATTTGACCATAAAAAGAAATATTAAACTCAATCTTAAAATAATGAATCCTATGATACTCCAATACTGAAACTATGTACTGTGCCAAAACAAAAGCATTCACATTGCTAAACTCACAAACTAGTATTTAGTCACTTAGCCATAATACCAACTTATCTCATAATTTGTAATATTTTAAAATAAAGAATTAAACTAAGTCTGCCCGAAATGCCTAGCCATGCTAGGTGTTCTAGTGGTACACTCTGTAATCATTATTTAACTACATGTAAACCACACAATAACCAAATTCTGTAAATTCAACATTGTAATCCTTATAGAGAATAAACTTTGAATTTGAATTTGAATAGTGTGAGAAGGGCATTTTGCGGCACGTAGTATCGTATCTTGGAGAGGATCCCCACCGTTTTGGATTTTTTTTTATGCGTTGGATATGGGTGCTGTGTTATACCTTCCATGTCTCCCCAACATGAAGTGCTCAGAAGTACTTTTGCTACATGTGTAGTATTAGGAGTACCACAATTTATATATTAGGAACATCTGCGCTACGTCATTTCTGTTTGATAAAAGAAAACCCTATGTTTGTTAATATTAGTCATAGAAAGCGCTAAACCAGTACTGGTCATACAGTGTCTGGGAATTAATTAAGCAGTCAGGTTTGATTCTAGGAAGAGGAGGGTAACCAATTCTTTGGATCACAAGCGCTTCTTAGTGGAATATACCGAATTAATATATTTTAAACAAGTGTCTTCAGAAGCTCCTTCACTTTTTTGTAAGACAGAAGAAAGTGTATTGCTACATTATGGAGTGTCTACAGGTACTTTGCTACATTATGGAGTGTCTACAGGTACTTTGCTACATTATGGAGTGTCTACAGGTACTTTGCTACATTATGGAGTGTGTACAGGTACTTTGCTACATTATGGAGTGTCTACAGGTACTTTGCTACATTATGGAGTGTCTACAGGTACTTTGCTACATTATGGAGTGTGTACAGGTACTTTTCTACATTATGGAGTGTCTACAGGTACTTTGCTACATTATGGAGTGTCTACAGGTACTTTTCTACATTATGGAGTTTCTACAGGTACTTTGCTACATTATGGAGCGTCTACAGGTACTTTGCTACATTATGGAGTGTCTACAGGTACCTTGCTACATTATGGAGTGTCTACAGGTACTTTGCTACATTATGGAGTGTCTACAGGTACTTTGCTACATTATGGAGTTTCTACAGGTACTGAGAAATTTCAATTACTCAGATATGGTAAACATGAGGAAATTAAATCTTCATCAGAGTACAAAACAAATTCTGGCCACAAAATAGAGCGAAACACCAACGTCAAAGACCTGGGAGTGATTATGTCGGAGGATCTCACCTTCAAGGACCATAACATTGTATCAATCGCATCTGCTAGAAAAATGACAGGATGGATAATGAGAACCTTCAAAACTAGGGAGGCCAAGCCCATGATGACACTCTTCAGGTCACTTGTTCTATCTAGGCTGGAATATTGCTGCACTCTAACAGCACCTTTCAAGGCAGGTGAAATTGCTGACCTAGAAAATGTACAGAGAACCTTCACGGCGCGCATAACGGAGATAAAACACCTCAATTACTGGGAGCGCTTGAGGTTCCTAAACCTGTATTCCCTGGAACGCAGGAGGGAGAGATACTGATTATATACACCTGGAAAATCCTAGAGGGACTAGTACCGAACTTGCACACGAAAATCACCCACTACGAAAGCAAAAGACTTGGCAGACGATGCACCATCCCCCCAATGAAAAGCAGGGGTGTCACTAGCACGTTAAGAGACCATACAATACTTTGTCATGGGGCCCGGTACTGTTGCAATTGCCTCCAGCTTCATAAGGGGGTATTACGCAACATGACCCCTGGCGGCAGTTTCACGGCACTGGACAAGCACCTTAAAGGTCAGTTCCTGTAGCCGGGCTGTGTCGTACGTTGGTTTGCGTAGCAATGCAGCAGCCTGTTGATCAGGCTGATCCACAGGGGCCTGGTAAGACCGGGCCGGGGGTCTGACAGCCGAAACTCTCTCCAGTAATCCAGGTAAACATTATGGAGTGTCTACAGGTACTTTGCTACATTATGGAGTGTCTACAGGTACTTTGCTACATTATGGAGT